TTGTCTATCATTCAGGTATTATTATTATTATTATTATTATTATTATTATTATTATTATTATTGTTATTATTGTTACTATTATTGGTGATGGGCGCGCTACTGAAAAAAGTTATTGCTGATTCGCTAAAAAGAAATTTTCGTTTCGCTAAAAATATTCGTTAGCAATGAAGTCGAATTTAGCACTCGTCAGTGCGAAGCACAAAAATGAATTTTTAGTATCTTGGTGTTTGGAAAAACAACCAATAACATTACTGCAGTCAGTGGATAATTGGTCGTACATACGAAAAGTAGCGAGTCAGGGAAAGTTTGAAAAAAAAAAAAACTAGCTCGCTACAACGCTAATGAAAGAGAATAACGCTATTTGGTGCCGCTAAAAATTATGATGGCGGAAGTAATCGCCGCAGAATCATGCTGTTCTAAAAAAGTAAGAGCTGTAGTGCCACCGAAAAAAAGTAGATCCGTTAATAGCGGGACAGCGAATGGTGTACTATCGTCCCCATTGGTTATTATTATCAATGATATTGTTGCAGAATTCTGGCGATGAAGTGGAGCTAACGGTTCGAGCGATGCCAGAATTGGCAGAATTATGTGATCGGAAAGTAATAGGCAGTGTCCGTGATGGTGGTGATTCATTGATGTTGGTACCCGTATCAAGTCGAGTATTTGCTGACGAGGTTTGTGTATTGTTGTTGTTATTAATGTATTGTCATGTGAATAAATTTGAGGATGCAACAGACCAAGAGACTCGTTATTGGTTGATGCATAAGAATGGCTACACGCTGGTGCGAATGCTCAGTACTGAAGCTGATGGCAAAGTACGTGTTCGAGTGGGTGATACTGAGATGACCGTGGACGTGACCGATTTAGATAAGGCTAATCCAACATGTATGGATCGAGTCGAGAATTTAACGATGCAAGTCATTTGATTTGTTGTTTATGGTCCGAATACGATCACACAATATTGGTAACTCTAAAAAGATGGAATGAATGCAGGCTTCGCTATATCAACGAGACAAGTGCAGTGCATGTGTTACGGCATCGTTATGGGAGTAGTTTAGTGCATACGAACGCCGGTTATCAAGGCATGATTTGTATAGCGAATGAATATGAGCCTTTCTCGTGCTGTTCTGACAAAGTAGTTGCACTTTTCAAGGGATGTCGAAAGCAACAAATGCCGCCACACATATATGCATCTGCGCAGAATGCTTACAGGTTACTTTCATTTGTGAATGATGCTTTCATATATCTGTTCGTTGTGCAAATTGTTTCTTGCTTGAAGAACAATGCAAATGACGGGTCGAAGTCAGTGTATGGTATTGACGGGTGTAAGTGGTAGCGGTAAATCGACGCAACTTAGAAATATTTGCCACTATTTATGCGAGATCGCCGGCTGGACGAAAACACTGTCATGTATGTGTTTGTTGTTTGCTTGACCGATTGAATTTACAGCATGGATTAACGGATGATTGTTCAGGATATTATACCACCTGAAATAGCAACTAAATGATTATGTTCTTCAGACGATCGCATTTCGTCAGCGTTAGATGTGCTCGAAGCGTTCGGCAACTGCGCGACGGTACTGAGTAGAAACGCAACGCGATTCGCCAATCTGCTAACACTTTCGTTTGATGCGTCTGCTTCGTTGAAGTTGGTTTGTTTTGGTACTGGAGAATGATCGTGTTTTGCATAGAAATGTATATTTTGGGGCAGTTTCATATTGATCTATTAAACGGCTGCTAATTGCTGGGAAAACAGTAAGATTAATGCAATCACTGGATAATTAATTGATTATTTAATTAATGGCTGGTTAACGAATTCCAGGTATGCTCGTATGCAAACGTTTCTGTTAGATACGTCGAATATATGGACAGCGAGCAAGTTTCATGTATTTTATTATTTGCTAGAAGGTGCAGATGAAGAGTTAAAACAGACTCTGAAAGTTGCTGCGATCGATGAGACGTTTTATGCAGTGCTCATCGAAGAAGACGACAAAATTGCGGCGAAATTAGTGGGTTAAAATTTATTGTTTGATTTTGCTATTTGTTGATAGTATAACAAAAGAGATTATTGGTGGGGCTATTCAGGGTTGGGAACGTCTGAACGAAGCGTTCGTTAAGCTTCAAGTGAGTGCAGCCGAGCAGNTATTCGAGCCTCATCAGCACAACACGCCGCCACTCTTCTCGGAATTACTCTCGAACAGCTGTCCGCTTCCGTCTTCCGTCCCGCATCCTCTCAAAGCAATGCCGCATCTTCTGTGCAAGCGAACGGTCTTATGAAGTAACACATTCTAACTTAAATGTAACCATTTCCATAGCAATGGATTAGTATTCACACGTCTATTTGGCTTATTATTCTAACAAACATAATAATGCTCGTCATTATTCAGTCGTTTCTCGTTGTCGAATCGTGGCGTGAATGGACCAGAAATGTTGAATAGTTTCATAACTCGTCTATACAACGAACTTTTCTCAGCGGTTGTTACAATCATTAATCGTGGAATCGGTGGTCACACCAGTTTGGTAACTTCAACGTCAATTACGATCATTGATTATCCGGGTGGAAATTTCAATGCTGCATGGACTGATGTTTGTTAATCGTTTCATTCTGACATGTTATCGTTTTGCAACTACGTCGAATTCAGCCTTGAAAGATCAATCTTTTAGTGCGTAGTGATGAATTGGCCAATAGAATGAATGAATAGAAATTTTAGTTAAACGATGAAAGAACGAAACCGAGTGGCCTAATCGACTTGACGTTCAATTATGTGAATGAACGTATCGCAGAACTCTTCTACGAGAGCAACTTCAGCGAGCCGATTGAGTTGTATGCTCGTGAGCAAGTCGATGTGGACATAGATAAGCCAGCACAGTGCCCTGATCACATAACTCGTCTTATAGATCAGAAACAACAATTGGTTATTTACCACTTCTTTTAGCAGTGCACAAATATTGATAAAGAAAGAAATGAGTAACTGATGAAAGTGATTGCAACTGGATCTGATTTCGGAGTAGTTGTGATGAAATGGTGAGACTTAATGAATGTTGATGGTTTATGCAGATGAATTGTGTGGATATTGAGTTGAGAAGCGAGCAACGACGTGGATTGTTGTGTATTCTGGATGAAGAGGCACTCTTCCCAGGCGCTACTGATGATTCGTTCTTTGAGCGCATTTTTGTGCATTTGGGAGATTCACGTTAGTACTGCTCTTTGTTCTGAGATTTGTTATCAAAAATTGACGGATACTTTTTAACATTACTCCCAGATTTAAATGGTTGACTTTTATTTTTAAGGTTTAATTCGACGTGGTAATAGTGCACGTGAATTTGTGTTGGGCCATTGTTTGGGTAATAGTCCAGTGCTTTATTCGGTTGATGGTTGGGTGAAGGCCGCGCAACCAGGTGTCACTGGATCGTCAGTTCTAGCACTTCTTCAAACTTCATCTGAGTGAGTGATTCGAGCTCTGATTTGCACACTCTGCAACATTTATTTGCTCATTTGATAATGTCTTCTTCAGTATGGCGATAAGTGCGCTGTTTTCACCATTCGGCATCGAGAGTACCTCCTTAAAGATGCGTAAAGCGACACAAACCGTTAAAATGGATGCAGCCGGTTTGCGCATGGCTTCATCCGGATACTTCTCAAACATTTCCCTGCAAACGGTTGGCTGCCTTCACATTTTAGCAGCAGTGCGATTTCGTAATGAAATATGTTTGTTCAGGACTATCTTATTTCGTTTGCACGTCGTTCGCACGGTCTGCATTTCGTGCATTGTATTCAAGCACAGCCCGTAGTGATGGCGAATGCAGCCAGATCAAGAGAAAGCAAGTCGTCATCTTGTGCCTTCGCTCATCGACAACAACAACCAGCAGCTATAAGCAACGAACTTGTGCTCGATGTTCCTTTTGTACGCGCACAAATCAGAGCTTTACTCATTGTTGATGCAGTTCGAGTGGCCAGTCGAGGTAGAGTCATTGTTACTCCTTCACTCAGTACATTACAATTCAACTGACAGTAAGTCAACTTTCTTTATATATGGTTGAATTTATTTGCCGAAGGTTATATGTCAAATTGGAAAAGTGTGTAAGTCGGGGTTTCGAAATTAACTGCTTGATGAATTGAATGAATAAGTCAACTTTGCGATCTCTCAGGTTATCCGGAACGTCTTCCGTTCAAGGATTTCCGTCGTCGTTTCCAGTGCCTAATCGAGCATGAAGAAGAGAGCAGCACATTGAGTGACATGCTAGATGATCGTGCAGCGGTGAAGCGAATCCTGGAAAGTATGGCTGTATTCCCACATACGTATCGTTTAGGATTGAGTCAGGTATGGCGTTTCTCTGCTGGTTAACTTGTTTTTATACGTGTTTGATATTACTGTTGCAAATCGATCTCAATTCTAATCGAAGACATGTTCGTTTTTTTGCTAAACACGGTGACAACTACTGACTGAAGGTATTAATGCGCTCGGACGTGCTATCTGATCTGGAGAATCGTCGTGAGATGAGTCTAAATGGTGTAATTATCAATCTGCAAAGGCTGTGTCGTAAATATTTGGCCACTAAATGGTTACAACGTCGTCGAACTCTTGAAACAGCAATTCGTTGTATACAACGAAATGGCAAATGCTATATGAAAGCAAGGGAATGGCCATGGTGGAGACTGTATACTAAATGTATACCACTGCTTGCAGCAGCTAGGTGAGTGATTTATCCTCTTGTTATTTTTATATCTAATAAGCTGTTGTAGGAGTGACGAGGAGTATCGAGAGTGGGAGAGACGTGTTCGGGATTTGGAAGGTATGGTCAATGAGCTTCGAGTGACGAAAAGTCGATTGGAGGGTCGAGTCAGTGAACTGGAACAGATGCTGGCGACAGAATGCACGAATACGCAGTCGCTCAGCGATGCGTTGGAACGCGAGACCGAGTTACGTGTGCAGTCACAAAAGCACATTCTGTTATTGCAACAACGTCATCTTGGTTGGTTGACTTCTTTATTTCTGTTTGGTTGATTTTAATGCATTCTTTTAACAGATGATCAGCAGACGCCTCGTCTATCGTCATCAAGTTCATCGCATTCTCGTTTCGATCACGATTATTCGCGGGTTTGTCTTTGTTAATTTCCATTCGAATTTTTATTTTATGGATTATAAATAATATAAAATGCTTTGAAGACAAGTGAATTACAAAAAGAAATGGATACATTACGAGCAAGTGAGACAACACAACGAAGTCGAGCACAGAAGACAATGGAACGTTTGAAAGATATTGAGAATGAGTTGAAAAATGTGAAGATGCGAAACGAATTGTTGGAGAGTCGAAACGTGAAGTACTGTTTTAATTGACTGACTGTTCATTCAATTATTTATTGTTATGTTTTGCTTTCGTAGATTTGACGACGAGGTCAAGAGTATTGAAACGAAATACGCAAAACAGATAGAAGAGTACGAAGAGATTGTGAAGCAACGTGATGCTGCAGTTTCATCCCTTAAAAACAAGATCAGTGAGTTACAGGTACGTTTATTGTATTTATGTATATTTATCAGTCACTATTTTTATTGTTATTAATTGTTATCATTATTAATCATAATTACTCGTTATTATTATTATTATTATTACTGCAAATAATTATAATTATCATTTTAGAACGTGAAATCTGAGAATAATCAGCTACAAACAACAGTAGCAAAATTGCGGAAGGAAGTTGATGAAGCAATCGAAAGTGGTGTTCAGTGTTCGGAAGTCACGCAATTAAAGAAGGCGAAACGTGATCTGGAAGCGAAATTCACCTCTCAGGTTCGTTGAAGCTATTATTATTTATTATTATTGTTGTTGTTAAATAATTGATGTTGTCATTATTAAAGGAAAATGAATTAGACGATATGGCAGGCCAAATACATATGTTACAACAAAATGTAACACGTTTGGAAATGGCTGCTGAGAGATCGAAAAATGAAAAGATTCGGGATTTAGATGCGAAAGAGGACGAAATAGATGAATTACGTGCTCAGTATCAAAGAAGGGTTATTTTTTGTTTTTGCTATTTATATACCATTCGAAGCCGATCAAAATGGGGGCGGGACTCGAACCCGTAACAGAACAGTTTGAAATGAATGAGATGCTGTTACCGAATGCTTGTTCTTATTGTTGATTTTAAAGAAGCGTTTTTTTTTCAGTTACGTGCATTCGAAGAGCAAATAGCCGATATGCAAGACACGAACTCGTCATTAATGAAGCAGAACCGAATTCTGGAAGCGCGTCTTCGGGAATGTGATACACACAACTATAGGTTTTTGTTTTTGATTTGTTCATTGGAGAGGTGTGTTGGAATTGTCGAGTTGTTGACGTGAAATTGTCAACTTGCAGCTATGAAGAGTCGTCAGGACACTACAAGCGTGAGTTAGAAAAAGCAATGGCACTGCTGCACGATACAGAAACAGTACTCGCGCATGAACGTGAAAATCAGCCGACCAATCAAACCATGATACGTCAGCTTCACGAACAACTGGATGATGCCGAAGCCATAAAGTTGAGCATTCTCAAAGGAAAGCATTCACTGGAGAGCGAACTCAGTGAGATGAGAACACAGGTATTTACTTGAGCGATTCGTATGAGTATGATGACTAATAGTGGCATTGTAGTTAGAAACAGCTCTAGCAGCCAAGAAGGTATCCGAAGCGCGTGTGATGAGTTTATTGAAAGAGAAGAACAGTGCGATACGGCGTGCTGAAGAGCATGACGATCAGCTACAGCTGGCGTTGAAGAATTACAAAGAGGCCATCCAGGACAACTCTATTTTATCCATACAGCTCAACGACCAATTGGAGCAGGTTTCTTTTTTGTTCCCGATACTTTTATTATTATTATTATCATTGTTATTATTATTATTATTATTATTGTCGTATTATTTCTGCGTTGATGGTGTTATTAATTTTTGTTTTATTATACTCCTGAGAAATGGCTCGTTTCTAAATTATTCGATTAGTGCAGTGTTTCTCAATTGGGGGCGCTCGCTCCTTTAAGGGGTGCGGTATAGTATTGCAGAAGGTGCGAGATAAGATTTTATTTTTTATATGTCGAATTAGGCGAGGACGGATTTCAACGCGTACATGTAAGCTCGGTCGGACTTTAACGTGTGTATTTTTGAAAAGCTAGAACGTACTCTAATGGTATGCACTTATCTACACTACAGATACTCACCTTAGTGGATGAGAGATACAGAGTTGGTGTTGCGAGGGGTGTGAGGACGTTTTAATTGTTGTTGTAGAGGGTGCGAGGGCATCTTAACATTTTCTGGGGCTGAGGGGAGAGGGGAAAGATTGAGAAGCACTGGATTAGTGTATCACATTATGTATATTTATACAATGTGGATTTGTGTCGGAATGTGGTGAGAATGATATTTGTAATGATGTTTCATGTGTGCATAAATAGATGTGTATTTCAGTTGGCTGATATTGAAAAAGACAAAAAGAAGCTGTCAGATAAACTGAATGAAGTGACCACTCAACTGGAATTCGAACAGCACAATTCGGTAGAGAAGCACCGTTTGTTGTTGGCAGAACAAAAAATTCGTGATTTGGAATCAAAAATCAATTTGGAACAGATGTCCAAAAGCCGATTGGATGTGTGTTTCCATTTATTATTATTGTTTATCGGTCGTTTATTTATATATTCAATGAGGAATTTTAATTGCAGTCGTCGCGATAATGATAGAACTAACATGGATTAAAAATGAATGTTTGCTTTTCTATGAATGTTGCTAAACTGAATGAAGCAAATCATTGCGCATCGTTTTGCACTGTTTTTGTCGAATTTTCATTTACGAAAACAGCTCGCGACGAAGCTATCCGTTTATGTTGTTGATAATTCGTTTGGTATTTCATTGTGATAATGAATAATATTATAATTAATATTGTTTTTAATGAATATTTAAGAGTCTACTAGCCAAAGCACTCGATGATATCGAGAATTTGAATGAAAGATTAAATGAAGTGATTCGATCGCGGGACACAGAAGTAGAGAACGCAAAAAAAGCACATAAGGAGGCGATATCGTTGGGCGATCAGCTGAATGATATGCGCAAAAGGGAACATGAACTTGTGCATAAATGCAAGATGGCTGTTCGTTTTTTTAATGTTCATCAAAGGAATGAATTGGTTGTCTGGTTGGAAACGATTTCATTGCAGACGAAGGAAATGGAAACGATGGAAATGGATAAGATGCGATTGGAGATGGAGTTGAAAACCGCTGTCAAAAGAGTTGAGACACTTCGAAAAACGATGCGCAATGATTTGGAGTGCTTGGATGAGGACGATGACCAGGATGTTTATAACAATGACGACAACCCAATGAGCGATGATCCGAATGATTTCGAAGGTTCATTTCTTTGTTTTTCGATTCTCCTTTTGATTGTTCCTTCATCACTTGCTTGTTTGAACGGTTTTTCATTCATCAGAAATACATATGCTCCTTTGTACATTTATTTCAACAGATAAAATAACAGCAGCCGTTGACGATCGAACGGAGCAATCTATCAAGCTAGGAGTGTCGTTGGAATAGCTGAATGTATCAACATTCATTGTTTTTGATCGCGTCATGCAGGGTTGCTCATTTATTTTCCTATTTCTTATTTGTTTCTATATTCTTATCACCCAAAATATCTGCATTTTTGTTGCAGCAACAATGTAACAGAGAAGACCGTGCTCTTTGCTGTGTCGATCGAAGGGAGTATTCACGTAATACTCAAGTTTCGTTATTCGGCTGCTTCCATGCCACGTTGTCATTCTTATTTCTTTTGTAATATTGTACCTTGTTATACTTTTAATACCGCTATTATCAGTGTTATTGATCAATTTCAAATTCATTTTTTGAATATGTTCAGTGCTCAGAGGACAGTGGCGAAAGATTGTTATTTTAATGAACGATATTGAATGAATAATCGGATGCAGTCAGATTGGATCAGTGTTTTCGTTCCTCATCGATCATGTCATCTTGTCGTTGTATACAGTTATTCATTGCTTATGTAATCTTTTATTCATTATCAACTTCAGTTGAACGCAATTTTCTAAACTGTTCAATCTTGGAACTGTTAAAACCCATGTTCATTCGACTGAATTTTTAAGAATTCAATTCTTTCTTTTAAGTTCCTTAGTTCAAATACAGTACGAGAGAATAAGTCAAAGACTGAACCAAGCGGGTGAGTTTTACTGGTGTTCGTTAAATAGTGATTTTTAAATTATAACGTTGCGGTGACGTTGTTTTATTGTGAGGTGCGCGATTAGCACGCGAGATTCAGGTGTTGAAGTTGATATCATTGAGACGCTTATTTATTTTGTATTGCCCACAGCAAAACACTTTAATTGAAGCCTTAATTTCATTTGTTCCGTTCTCATTAATCATTCCCTGTTCGCTTTGTCATTTTCATATTCCGTTTCCTGTCTCTTGTATATTCTTGTTATTGCTTATTTATTGTTATCATTGTTCATACTACTATCAACTTTAGTCTAATAAAGTTTATTATCGTTTTTGTTTTCCTATTTCTCGGTACCCCTGAGTCCTCCATCGTGAATTCAAGGTAGTCATTAAGTATTAGCTGGTCTGGGTCAGGTTTCTAGGTTGAAAGAAAGAAAAGTGGAGAGGACTGGGTAATTTTGAACGCATATATATTCACGATCAGATAGGTCACTGATATTGCTATTAAAAAAGAAACTGTTTTCATTACCAATTAATTTTACATTATTATTATTATTGGAATGGTTAATATGTCAGTTGGAGAACTCAGAATAGTAATAATAACACCAGTGCGGGTCATGATTGCGAACAGAGAAAGAAATTATTTCCTTTCTTGTAAAGAGTAAAAATCACATGTACTAGTCAATATATTTGATAATTCATTCATTTCTAATAACAATGATAATAATATTTGATTCAGAACTCTGTCACCAGCAAAACACTTTACCGCTAAAATTCCCTTTGCCACTAAAATTCATTCAGATTTTTGTTTCATAAATGAGAAACAATTGAGGTCAACAACGAAATTCACGGAAGTTACTAAAAAATTAAAGTTTGAGGAGAATAACATCGGGATAAATTCATTTTAGAGGTGGGAGAAGAATGAAGTTTTACGAGAAGGTATGAAAAAAATTGTCGATAAGTTGCAGCTTGTGGGCATCGCGTAGGTGCAAAATGACTTCCTCCAGCTGCGCCCCACCGAGCATCATCTCTGCAACACCCGTCCACGACCGACGTAAACGATGATCTGTGATGCGGTCGTCTTTAAAGTTGTACGTTCGAACTTTTTCGGCGCGCGACTTAGAGCCCACCTTCAATTTTCATTAACCTCTACCATAGGTGTTGATGTGATCCGTTGTCGATATTTACAAGGCTGGTTTTGAGGAAAGTTCATGCCGACTGCATAGGTTGAGTGTGAGTGACGGAAGGCATGAAATGCACAAATGCGTAGAGCATGTGTTTGGTCGGATGGATGGAGTAAAAAGAGTGAATGAACAAGGTTATATTATGCATTCATTTATGATTTAGGTAATACAGCAATGAGCAAATCATTTCGAAACCTGAACCTGTAATCTTCTGGCCGATGAAGTGTGCTCGTCAATTTCATCAAGTTTTTTCTGCATTAATATTGCTGCTAAACGCCTGAATGCGATCTGCAACTTGTATTAAAATTGCAGTTATTATCACTATTTATAGAAAAGACCAAATCTTCACGCGACCGAGTCTCTTTCAAAATGAGCATTCGACTTGTCTTCTCGAACTGAATGCATTCGACAAGCACTTCAATATGAAAGCCAAATTCAATGCAGTGATTAGCCATCTTACGGGTCACTATACCAAACCTAACAGCCAACCAAGGATATGTTTATGATTACGATGGAGGAGATGTAGATAGCGTTGACTATACGGAGGCACTTCAGTAAATAAGAAGTTATTATCAGTGATGTTGTAAACTCATTGAAATATTAAAAATGATAATGAAACAAATAATAATAGAAATAGAATAATAGAAAATAACAACAAATAATAATGGAAACGGAAAAAAACAGTACTTGAATATTAAGATGTTGAAAGCGTTCGTCCATGCAATGCACCGAAATACCAGTAGGTTTATGTGTTACACGTACTGCAGTTGACCTTTTATTAACATTTTGTCCACCGGGACCCGATGCTCTCATCGTTTCGATTTTAACATCATTCGAAGAAACGTACGCATCAACCTGAAGTTCAAATGAGTTTGGACTTAAGATGAGAGTAAATAAAGCAGTCAGCCTCTCCATTGGCTTGTAAAGAAAAGAAAGGGCAAATTTACTTTATTTGGCTCAGGTAACACAGAAACACTAGCTGTACTGGTATGCATACGTGTTTTATCAGTAACCGGCACACGTTGAACACGGTGCACACCCGCTTCGAATCGCATTTGCGAATACACCTCATCACCACATACTGATATCAATACGCTGCGTATTCCACCTAACATATTTTTATTAATGATCATCGTTATTGCTGGATACTGTTGTAGCAGGCGTAATGATTGATCTCATTGCAGTTGTTTAGTACATAAATGTGCAGTCAGATTGAATGGAACCTAACCGAGTTGTACA